ATTTGAGGCCATTTCGGTTTCAGAAAGAGCATGCACACTTCTGAGAGGTCCATTGTGTAGCAGCACTTTCGGGCCCGGTCTGAATTGGGCTTTTATTTTGAAGGCAGGAAAACAGAAATGTAAGTTCCAGGGACGGAACCTAGGGAAACTCTGAAGTGTTAACCAAACAGTGATGCTCAGTGACTGAGAAAAAGCCTTACTCGTGCGTGGAAAACAAAACCGAACGACGAGCGTGTTTTATTGTTTCTAAACCGAAAGCTGAAGAGAATCTGAACGTGTGATTCATAATTCCTGTAATCATCTTGAGCCCATTATATTCTGAAATAAGATCATCACATCACATGACTGTTCTGTTTGGGAAAATGTGATCCACTGGAATCTTTTACCAAAGGTAAAAATATGAATTATAAATATAAGATTAAATAAAATATGAACAGATGAATAAAAAAAAGAAAGATCATTTATAAATAAATAAAGATGAGGATAACAAGCTGAAGTATTGTTAGTTTTGATTAAAAAATGGCTGTTTCATAATTGCGAGACAAAAAGGTAATGCCACATTCCCACAGGATTTCTTATTTATCCTCACTCAGACTGAACGTTTCAAAACATTTCCACAACAGTTCGTATAGCTGTAAAACGTAGACGGATAAACCTGCAGCGCTAGGACAAAACATCACCACAAGTGCGAGTACTGAACAGATCAGTGAGCGGCACTTAACAGAAAACACAACTTTAAGACTTTATTAGTGTAAAGACAGATTTTGGATGTCTTGGAGACATGCAATAAAAGCAAATAAAATACTTAAGTAAATGGGTTTTAATCAAAGCGAGTCACATGGTGGTGCTAAGTCATTGTTGATGAGCCTTCTGTTATCTGTAAAGTACACAGAGCTGCTATTAAGCTTCAGTAAAAAAATAAAAAAATCACTCAGTGAGAGAAGACTGTTCTCAGTCTGCGTAGTGAAAGCAGAAAAGAAGGGATAAAAACGTTTAAAAGTACTTCCAGGAAGTATGATATTTAGCTTGAGCTCACGTGCAGTCGAAAATCTAAGAGGTAGAACTTTTTGGAGGTTAAATTCCAAGCATTTCGTATGTATAGTGGCCTGAGAAAAACGTACATATATACTATATATCTGAAAACTACAGACTGTCCTGAACTAAAATATATTTTTCTTTTGCACGCATCTCAACAAAGAAAATCACGTGTTAACATTCCACTCAGACGGTGGTAGAGGAGCACTGTGGCCACTTTGACAGCCTGTATCTGTTTATCTGTTTACAAACTGAAATGATTAGACTTTGTAGCTATCCAACAACTTGAGCAAATTGTAACATTCACTATTTTTACCACCATGTTTGTTAAACTTGCTCCTTACCCAGTGGCAGCTCGTCCATAGGGGCAAATGATGCAGAGTCCCACCATTTATATCAGCCGTTTAATACATGTTAATCTTCATAAAGTCTTCAGTAACAATTCCGTGTATTCTAAATTCTGTTTAAATACTAATTACTTCTTTTGAATTATCAATTATTTTGTTGCTCTTTGACACGTATAAGCCTAGGTTCCATCTTGCTTTTCTACATATTGTGCAATCATGAGGCAGCTTGCTCACTGCCCCATTTAGCATTATTGCACCTAGTGGTCAAACATGGGAACTGCAACAAGCACTAACAGAGACCCATTGGGGCAAGCATCATGCTGCTCCATGCTTGTTTTTCAGTGGAGGAGGCGTTAATAACAAGGTTGACAAATAATCGAAATTAAATCTAATAAATTTCTGCAAAAGAGTGTAAGTGCAGACAGTGTGTATGTGTTGTACAGAACTATTTCTATTGTAATATATATACTGCAAAGATTGAGAGAGGGAAAGGAGGATTATGGAATGGATAACGTCTGTGAGAAATGCATGTGAAATACTTATTACCCACACAAAGGCTGAGAAAAAGAAGAAAAAACTTGTCTCTTTTCCAGTTCGGGGTAGTTTCAGGTCTTTTGCGTGGTTTTTGAGGTGTAGTTGGGCTGGAACTTTTGCTCAAATCTGTCTAACTTGGTTATTAAGATTACCCTGAACACAGTTAATCAAAGGTATGTCTAAAACCGCCCAAAATGAGCCGCTAGTCTGTATGCTGGATGACTGAAAGTTGTCGACTCTCGTCTGCCTATTAAAGCGTTTCTCTAAAAATTCACAAGATAGTAGCCTATAGCATAAGAGTGATAACCTCTCGACTTCATTTTGTTTGAGGCTGTGTTGTTGTTATTGTCGTCCTGCCTCACCAACATGGCCTGTGCAGGAAGACAGCAAATGTATGGCAGAATTTGGACACAATGTCATTCAAAATGCCGTAAACAGCTCCATCCATCAGTCAGCTAAGAAAAGGGAAAAACATGGTCTAATAAAAGCAAATAGTTCAGACTGACCAACATGATTTTATGATTGCAAGAATTCTTCCTGTTTTAATGCAATTTCTTTTCCCAGTTCCATTAGACGTCCCTTCAGTTGAGCAAGTCTCTGCTGATGCCAGTGCAGTGATGTCACTAAACAGCAATGCAATGCCGGGTTTATCCTTGCTTTTTAAACATCGAGGCTACGTGTATCCTGCATTTATTCTTACATTTAAAAGATTAATGTGACACATATGTGCGCATGGTGCAGTACAAACGTAAATGGTGGAGCAGTGTAGCACGGGGTGATGTGTTGTTTTCAGCTGTGTCACAAATCGGATACTTATGAGGCAGCTTTTGAGTATTAAGACTAAACAATTTCTTTATAACGGTTAGTGTTTGAATAAGAATAAAAAAAACTTTCATGTAGCCTTCGAACCTGCCAAAAAGTCTATTTTGTGAAAATCCTCTGTGTAGTTTGGCAAACAGTTTTAAATTTAAGGTCATCGTGTTCAGTTTGAGACACAGCTTAGGACAGCATGATGACAGTTCTAAAGGGAACACTATATGCGTCCCAGAATATTCGCCATTAAATCTAGAAACATTTTGCATGGACATGGAAACCTGATGTATCGGCTAATGGATATCACTTTTAATCTTTCAAATGTACAAAAGATACGCAGGTGAGAATGTGAACAATGCCTCTCACGTAGCTGCTGCAACCCGACGTGTAGTCAGACCTCGAATATATGCTGAGTATTAAAAAAAATTATTTTAAAAGGAAAAATAGCAATAAAAAACCTGGTGCAAATACACAAATATTTGTGTAAAGATACGACAGGTTAAGTTTGAGCCGAGGGGCGGAGTTAATGCCCGTAGATACAATCATATCCTTTTGTTCTATTCATTCGCTTCATGTTCAGAAATGACTCTCAGGCATTGTCATCTTTTAGGCCTCTTATACCGATCATTTTACACTTGATCTCAGACCCTGCTCTTTATTTTGTGTAAATAGGAGCTGCTCTTAATCAAATGATGCATTAGTGCACTGAATGGCTGCAAGGCCAGCTTTAGACTCCCCACGAGTCAGAGTCGAAATTATTTTTCATTAGCATGCCAGTCAATATCAATAAAACGACACATAAAACAAATTTCCGGCTCAGAAAAAGAAAATTAACTTGATCAATGTAATTGCTTCCTCGTTACAGTTTCCATTTCTTCTCTCATTTATCTTTCGGCGTTAAGGATGAAAAACAAACGGTCTGATTCTAATCAAATTAGCGCAGTTATTTTCTCCATTTGAAGGTTGCTGTTTATATTTATTTTGCAGTTAGCTCTGGATTTGAACTTTATCTCTCCAATTAGTTCTGAATTAGTGCTGGCGTTTGAAATGGAAAAGATGGAAATTTGGTAAATAATTACACTGTGCCTTATCATGGAGAGAGATGAGTGAGAATTCATATCCATATCACTGTGCTAAGCCTTTATTAATGCTCACGTCACTGGAATTTATCACCAGTTGCTTAATTAGCTTCTTATTTTTTATATATATGTCAGCTGAAACATTTCCTACATTGACATTCAAACTGGTTTCATTCGCAGAGTGTCAGAAATAAAGAAATAATAACACACCGACTAAGTCAAACTTGGAAATCTTTACGAAAAGTAAGCTGTCATGTGTTTCCATCTATATATTTATATATTAAACATTCATAGCTCATTACTGGGGCAATACTGGAGGATCTACATAATCTACAAATAAAGAGAGGAAAAAAAGAGGGGCTATTTACAGATGCTATGTAACTATAAATGGATAAAAAAGTATGACGTGTCATTCGGTAATAAATAAGAAAAATGGAATGGACTTGCTGTTATTGAAAAGCAATCATTTTTAAGGTGTTAACAGTAACTCCGCTTCATCACACCACTATGGCGTTGATTATTTCCCTGTTAGAGCATGACACAGAGTGCTCTATTCCGTACACACACTCCGATTGGAGATCAGAGTCAAACCTTTCGTCCTGCACACGTCTCTTCACGTGGATCTCAGTGATGACTGTCTGTCTTCCCTCCTGCGTTTTTTCATCCCTCTCGCTCGCTCTTGTCATCCCTCCAGCCAGGTCAGAAATGAAACAGAAAATCTTCGTCTGAGTCATGGCTCAGGGACTTAACTTTGTTTAGGAGATGGATAATTTACAGTGCTTCTGATAAAAAAAATAATAATAAAAAAGAAGAAGCTACAGAATTGGAGGGGGGAAAAACATGAAGCAACCATTTTCAACAAGATGAGCGGTGTAATGGTAAATTAGGTCACTCTTATTGACACCACACTAAAAAGAATTGCATAATGAAATGAAAAGATTGGAGCCTCTTTGACTCTGTGCGCACAGTGTCTGTGTTTACAGATTACGCAAGGACTATCTGAGCATCATAACAGTTTTCAGCCTGGTCTGAGGCAAAATTAAAACAACGGTAATAAAATAAATCAGATTGTTGTATTTGATATAAATGAAGCTGAAACTCCACCCCTCACAACAACCACGCCCTCGTCTGAGCCTGTTACACCGACAGGTCTTATAGAGCAGTTCTTTCATACACTGATGTGTGAGCTTAGGGGAAAGTGGTGGCTCAGTGGTTAAGGCTTCGGGCTGTTGATCGGAAGATTGTGAGTTCAAATCGCAGCATCTCCAACCTGGCACTGTTGGCTTCTTGAGCAAAACTTTGAAAAACTTCCTGACTGTTGTAATGCACTGACACTAAAGACTCCTTGCTGAGCAAATGTAAAGGTGTCTGTTAATTTTCTATAACAGCAGCTCTGACGGAAGTCCTGGCTACAAGGCAAACCACAGCTTAATGTTAATGCACTCTAATACTTCTAATACTATTCTATATTTTGAAGAAACTCATCAATTTCTATAACAAGCAACTAACACAGCTTCAACTACTGGTAATCAAATGCTGTCCCTCATCCAGGACTTTCAAAAAAAATGTAAAAATAAATAAATAAATAAATAAATAATACTCTAAGAGTATCGAAGTGATTTAAAATGGTCTGTGTTTAAAATTTGTTATAATTTAATAATTATGTAAAGACTTGCAATAGTATATTAAAAACAACTGAGTGCAACAAAGAAACAAACCAAAACATATTTATTTATTTATTTATTTATTTATTTATTTATTTGCTCGTTTGTTTGAATTATTTAATTTCATTAATCCTTTTTTTGGTTTTCGTTATTACCTTACATTCATTATTTAATCAAAATCATTAATTTATTTAATTAAAAACTCAATCCTGTCATGTAGCTGTATTATATTATTACAGTACTATGTTTTTTTTAAATGAGAACATCCAGGAGGGTTTTTTTAATCATTTTCTAATAAGAAGACTTTTTGTTTTATATTTTTTGACAGTTGGGAGTGTTCAGATTTTGTTTTCGGAAAGCGATAATTAAAGTCAGCTCAGATTAAACATGAAAAGTAGGACAGGTGGGTGGAGGTGGGCCTCAGGAACGGTGTCTGGCCAGGATAAGGGGCGTGTAAAATTTTGCCTATGGCACCAAACAGCCGTTAAAAAAAAGCCAATATATTACAGTGACTCAACTGTGTGGCCTGAAGAAGCGAAAGAGAGAACTCCCGAGGAGACTCCTAATGAGAGTCGGCATCGTTTTACAGAAATCGCATTAGAACGCAGCCGGAGAGCGCACTGCTTCGCCTAATATATGGAAATCGTGCAAGATTTGAAGCGTCTATCTGAGAAAGTACACAAATAAATGTGATGCATTATTTCATAAACACTCGCACTGGTAGCAGTGGCGGCGGCGGGTCAGGAGAAAAAAAGGGCAATAATTGAAGGAGGAAATGTAGATGGGAGGGAAATGCCGAGACTGATCGAGAAGGAGAAAGCCCCCAGGCCCAACAGAGCTGGCGAGATGAGGCTTTTTTACTTTATTTCTTTCTTTATTTTGTTTTATTCACTCCATTCCCTGGAGGAGAATCATGAAGCAAATGGATATTCGTCTGCTGCTGAGAGATCTGATCTGATTTACGGAGCCGTTTAGAAAAGAAGATGTCGGTGTCAGTGCCAGTGCTCCTCATGTAAATATAATAGATCCAACTGTAGGTTAATGGTAATTACCCACAATGCCCCACGGCTGCTTCACAGGGGATTGCACTGAAGAGAGAAGGCAATAGAGATGGAAATAAGACGATAAGTGTGAACTGAGGACAGAGAGCAGCACTCAAATAACAATAACATCTTTTCTCAAATGAAACGTTCTCATGGCTCAACGATTCTTCTGGGGAGAAAACCATTTTTTTTTTCGCATATAGTTTTTTTTTTTTGTGGAATTATTCGCACAGGGCATTTCATCGGTATTGTTAAAGGTAAAATTCTGCAGAAAATAAATATAAAATTATACTATTTCCCCTATTAGTCCCAGTTAGTTCGCACAGGGCACTACACTGTTCATGAATATATATAAATATATTCTATAAAGAGGCAGGAAAATGAACATTTTCAAATGTCACTGTTCATTTTGCTTTCTTTTTTGAATAGCATATCATCCACACCTAGCCAGTAGTTGTACACATAGCGTCTTCACTCCTTCATTCCTGTTTCACAAGCTACTTTGTGTTAAAATCAAAGTAGTTAAAGTTAATGTAAGAAAGCTGTTGCTAGGCAACTAGGAAATATGGAAAGTGGAGTATAAATTAGCTATTGATTAAAGTTAACAAATGTCGGGTGTCTTACATCTGCTTTAGTTTTACACTGGAGCTACGAGGCTAACATCGCTATCAAGTAATGAAAGTCACCCAAAAATCTTTACTGTAAATTATTTTACAAAGCTTTAAACATATTAAGCTCTGTAACCTTTTAAAAATAAATGACTGAATAAAAATAAATGACTGAAAGAAAAAAAAAGGACGAGCAGGTATGTAAAGAAACCAATTCCGCTTGTCCAAGATGTCCAAATAACGACAATTCCTCTCCTGTCATCATTTCCCATGTTTTCTTTTTTCTTTCTTTCTTTTTTTTATAATGATAGTGTTTAGGATTTAATGTAACTTTGTGCAATTAGATTTCAAATTTCACCTTTTTTTTGTGAAATTATAGCTACAGCTAGCCATGCAGATATTAGCATTTTTGCTTAGCCGACAGACTGCTTAGCATTGAAATTGTGAGTTTGTGCTTTCAACATATGAATATGAACATGGATAAAATCAGTGTGTGAACATTGTGGCTAAGCAACTAGCAAACAAAAAAACTAGCTAACAATTTACCTAGCTAGCACTTATCTCTTAATGGAAACAAGAAAACACTGCTAGCAGTTTAGCTAGCTAGGACATAGCTGTCACTGGAACAAGATAACATTTTGTTTCTCGGATGTTTTGTGAATTTTACTAATAAAAGACGTCACAAGGCTAAAAACCAAACGTGTTCAGCCATATTCAGAATCAGTCGAAGCTACGATGGGCCCCTGAACTGCAGCTCATGAGAACACAACTGCATTTATATAAGTTATTTTAACTGCTTTTTTTTTTATTTTAAAGTTAATACGAATCATAGGCAGTTATTCATCTCATGTCATTTACACTCCAGATTCATAAACGCCTAAAGGTAAACCTGTGTGTGTGTGTGTTGGTACATCCAGCTCGTTTATCACAGTGACAGCTGTCTTTTGGTCAGCTTTGCGTGTCCAGGTGTGTCCTTGGAGACGTGTGCGTTTGGAGAAATTAGCATTAGCCAGAAATGCTACACTAACAGAAGGTGTAGCTTGGCTCCTGTAGAGAAGCTTTGGCTCGAACCATGGATTAGCGTTGTCACCCATCCAGTGGAAATCAAACCTAATCTCTCTCTCGCTCTCTCTCTCTCTCTCTCTTGTACACACTCTGATCTCGTATCCAACACACACATATGTTTCAGTGTAATGGAGGAAAGAATCCGCTGTAAAAAGTAAGACCGAACTGCGCCGGCTGCACCGTTAGAGTTCAGACAGGATTTTACCTTTCATTTTTAAGGTTTATTTTTCAGCACACTTGTGTTTGTCAGTGCGTCAGACAGATTGCTCATGAGAGAACCAGATTTAGCCGCCGTGTTGTTTGTCTTTAGTACTTGGAAAGTACTTGGATTTGATTCTGAGAAAATATAGAGGAGTAATCAGCTGCACTGACAAACACTAATAGCAAACCATTACACAGTAATGAAAATGCCAGCTCTCCTATTGGTCCTTATTTACATTCAATCAGCCAATCAGAAGTGAGGACAATCTGTCTTTCTTTTTCTCCTTCTCTCTCTTATTCTCTCAATAATAAACTCTGACTGGCTTATGGACAGACAGACAGACAGAGAGAGAGAGAGAGAGAGAGAGAGA